CCCGCTCTGTCTGGTGCCCCCTGGTGCTCGGCACCCGCACGACCTCCACGGGGTGCGCGGAGCTGAGGGGTCCAGGGAGCACGAGGGTGCTTTCGAGAAAAGCGTTCCGTCGACTGGGACCCGTCCGGGTCCGGACGTCCTGAGATCGGAGCCTGGCGATCGATGACACGTGTACACTCCCGCCGCTCGAAAGCGGGGCTGCCGTTTCCCCGAGCAGAAGCTGGGTGGAAAATAAGTTTCACCTGACTACAAAGGCAGACGTCGGCGCAGGCTTCTCTAGTTTGCGGTCAGAGGCTCATAGACACGTAGACCTTATCTTTCCTCGCATCCGACCCTCCGCTCGGCACCCCGCCCCCGCGGAGACGGCGTTCGCTGGGATCCTGGATTTCAGTGGGGCAGCCCATCTTTGCGAGCCGGAACGTCTGCCTCGGGGCTGGAGCTGAGAATGTGGCCTGAATTGCTATGGCGGGGAGGAGGAGGGAAGATCGTTCTCCCTGTGTCCTTCCCTAGCCCATTGAATCACTATCAACCTCATGCGCAATCTTCACAAAGTTTCTTCTCCCCTTCCCCCGACTCTCTGGGCGCGGGCTCCGGTCATCCTGCTCCGCCCTTCCCCTCCACCCCCACCGCCCTACAGTCGCTCAGCACTGCTGCAGCTCTCTCCATGGAAGATGAACAACAGATCATTTTTCATTGTATGGCCGCCTAAGAGCGCTCTCGCCTTAGCAGAGCATGATGGGAGTCTCTCCTCTCGTCTTCCCTCCCTCCTTTTTTGCCCTTTTTTTCTTCCTTCCCTCCATCCACAATTAATCCCTAAATAATGATTTTCCTAGCCAGCGCTGACTTGGGGATGGGGTTGTGCGACCCACGGGGACGCTCCCGTCAGCCTTTCAGAAGGGGCGGTTTCCAGAGGAAACTACAACTCCCATGAGGCCTCAGGCCAAAGCCGCCGCGCGGCATCGCGGGAGTCGTAGGCGTCTTCCTCCCCGGGCCCTCGCATCCCGCCCACGGGGGAACTACAAGTCCCAGGGCACCGCGGCGCCGCACGCCTGCGCGAGAGCCCGGAGCGGGGTGGGGGTGGGGCCGCCCCGGGCGGCGGGGGGCGGGGTCCGAGCGGGCTGTGTGGAGGCTTCAGACTCCCGGCGCCATTTAGCGCGGAGAGTTTCCCGGCGGACGCGGCGCTTCGCTCTCAGCCCTCCGCACCCCGTCTCCGGTGACAGAAGGCGCCTGGTGGGGGTGACTGCCCTTCGCCTCCCCGCCCCCGCCCAGTCCTCCCGGTCTCCTCCACTCGCGGCTCCGAAGCAGCGGAGCTCGGGCCCGCGGTGAGCGGCCCTCCCCTGCCCGCCGT